GGGCTGGGTCCAGTTGCTGAGTGTGGTAGGGTTGCCAGGTGTCTGGTATTTTTGCCTCCTGGCAGGAAAAACCCCCCAGAAAATACTGGACATTTTAGGACATTTTAGGTGTCCAGTGTTTTCTGGGTTTTTTTAACCGAACAGGAGGTGAAAATACCGGACTGTCCGGGTCAGTTCCGGACACGTGGCAGCCCTAACTCTGCCTGGGAGGGGGAGGAGCTGAGGGGGTCACTGCCAGGTGTCTGGTATTTTTGCCTCCTGGCAGGAAAAACCCCCCAGAAAATACTGGACATTTTAGGACATTTTAGGTGTCCAGTGTTTTCTGGGTTTTTTTAACCGAACAGGAGGTGAAAATACCGGACTGTCCGGGTCAGTTCCGGACACGTGGCAGCCCTAACTCTGCCTGGGAGGGGGAGGAGCTGAGGGGGTCACTGAGTGGGGAGGGGAAGGGTTGAGGGGGGGCACTGGATGGGTAGAGGAGGAGTCGAGGGGGTCGCTGGCTGGGAGGGGGAGGAGGACTTGAAATGTCACTGCTGATTCTCCCTATGACATCTAAGCTCCCAGCCCGCCGGCCTGGGCGCTCCCGAGGGTGCTGAATATCTCAGACACAGCTGTGCCCCACCCTGGTGCAAAGGCCTGCTGGCACTCCGGGCACAGTGACTTGTGCCGGGGTGAGGCCTGCACGCTGCTGGGGAAAGGGATGCATAGACGCTTGTGGGAAGGACTCACAGACACTAGTGGGAAGGACACACAGACAGTAGAGAGAAGTATGCACAGATGCTCGTGGGATGGATGCAAGGACACTAGCAGGAAGGACGCACAGACGTTCACGGGAAGGATGCACTGACGCTGGTCAGAAGGATGCACGGACGCTCATAGGATGGATGCACAGACACTAGCGGGAAGGTTGCATGGATGCTCGTGCAAAGGATGCACAGATGCTGGTGGGAAGGATGCACGGACGCTCGTGGGATGGATGCACAGACACTAGCGGGAAGGACGCATGGACGCTTGTAGAAAGGACGCATGGACGCTTGTAGGAAGATGCTCATGGGAAAGATGCACAGACACTCGTGGGAAGGACGCTCGTGGGAAGGAGCTGGGCAAAGCCACGTCCCGCGGCGGTTTGAGGGGTGCCGGGCAGCAGCCTCCACCCGGCTGTCTGGGGCAGCTCTCACCTTTGCTGGCTCCGTCAGGCCCTCTGAGGATGGTGCACTCTTCGATCTGGCCAAAGGGTTCAAAGAGCCGCCTGACGTCGTCTTCGCTCTGCTGCTTCCCCAGCATGCCCACAAAGAGCTTCCGGTCTTCTGGAACCAGACAGACGCTCTGAGCAGGGGGCCAGGCACGGACCCTGCAGCAGCGACAGGGCGGGCGCCAAGGGGGCTCTCGGGCATTACGAGCACACCTCCTCCCTCTGGCACTCGCTCTCCCCGCTCATTTCACCAGCTGAGGGTCGGTGTTTGGGACCCACACTGTGCCCGTAGCGCACTGCTCTGCCCCCAGACCACGCGGGGCCTGCCCACACTGTGCCCGTAGCGCACTGCTCTGCCCCCAGACCACGCGGGGCCTGCCCACACTGTGCCCGTAGCGCACTGCTCTGCCCCCAGACCACGCGGGGCCTGCCCACACTGTGCCCGTAGCGCACTGCTCTGCCCCCAGACCACGCGGGGCCTGCCCACACTGTGCCCGTAGCGCACTGCTCTGCCCCCAGACCACGCGGGGCCTGCCCACACTGTGCCCGTAGCGCACTGCTCTGCCCCCAGACCACGCGGGGCCTGCCCACACTGTGCCCGTAGCGCACTGCTCTGCCCCCAGACCACGCGGGGCCTGCCCACACTGTGCCCGTAGCGCACTGCTCTGCCCCCAGACCACGCGGGGCCTGCCCACACTGTGCCCGTAGCGCACTGCTCTGCCCCCAGACCACGCGGGGCCTGCCCACACTGTGCCCGTAGCGCACTGCTCTGCCCCCAGACCACGCGGGGCCTGCCCACACTGTGCCCGTAGCGCACTGCTCTGCCCCCAGACCACGCGGGGCCTGCCCACACTGTGCCCGTAGCGCACTGCTCTGCCCCCAGACCACGCGGGGCCTGCCCACACTGTGCCCGTAGCGCACTGCTCTGCCCCCAGACCACGCGGGGCCTGCCCACACTGTGCCCGTAGCGCACTGCTCTGCCCCCAGACCACGCGGGGCCTGCCCACACTGTGCCCGTAGCGCACTGCTCTGCCCCCAGACCACGCGGGGCCTGCCCACACTGTGCCCGTAGCGCACTGCTCTGCCCCCAGACCACGCGGGGCCTGCCCACACTGTGCCCGTAGCGCACTGCTCTGCCCCCAGACCACGCGGGGCCTGCCCACACTGTGCCCGTAGCGCACTGCTCTGCCCCCAGACCACGCGGGGCCTGCCCACACTGTGCCCGTAGCGCACTGCTCTGCCCCCAGACCACGCGGGGCCTGCCCACACTGTGCCCGTAGCGCACTGCTCTGCCCCCAGACCACGCGGGGCCTGCCCACACTGTGCCCGTAGCGCACTGCTCTGCCCCCAGACCACGCGGGGCCTGCCCACACTGTGCCCGTAGCGCACTGCTCTGCCCCCAGACCACGCGGGGCCTGCCCACACTGTGCCCGTAGCGCACTGCTCTGCCCCCAGACCACGCGGGGCCTGCCCACACTGTGCCCGTAGCGCACTGCTCTGCCCCCAGACCACGCGGGGCCTGCCCACACTGTGCCCGTAGCGCACTGCTCTGCCCCCAGACCACGCGGGGCCTGCCCACACTGTGCCCGTAGCGCACTGCTCTGCCCCCAGACCACGCGGGGCCTGCCCACACTGTGCCCGTAGCGCACTGCTCTGCCCCCAGACCACGCGGGGCCTGCCCACACTGTGCCCGTAGCGCACTGCTCTGCCCCCAGACCACGCGGGGCCTGCCCACACTGTGCCCGTAGCGCACTGCTCTGCCCCCAGACCACGCGGGGCCTGCCCACACTGTGCCCGTAGCGCACTGCTCTGCCCCCAGACCACGCGGGGCCTGCCCACACTGTGCCCGTAGCGCACTGCTCTGCCCCCAGACCACGCGGGGCCTGCCCACACTGTGCCCGTAGCGCACTGCTCTGCCCCCAGACCACGCGGGGCCTGCCCACACTGTGCCCGTAGCGCACTGCTCTGCCCCCAGACCACGCGGGGCCTGCCCACACTGTGCCCGTAGCGCACTGCTCTGCCCCCAGACCACGCGGGGCCTGCCCACACTGTGCCCGTAGCGCACTGCTCTGCCCCCAGACCACGCGGGGCCTGCCCACACTGTGCCCGTAGCGCACTGCTCTGCCCCCAGACCACGCGGGGCCTGCCCACACCTTGCCCGTAGCGCACTGCTCTGCCCCCAAACTGATCTTAACTTTGAGTTGGATTGTCTACATGGGGTTCTGAGACGCATTGGATTTTATAACTTTTTGATAACTCTGTTAATACAGCTGTTGTTTTCTTACATTTTCCATTCCATTTCATAATAATTTTTGGGATTGTCAGAACAGCCTTAATTACTCAAGATTCTCTGTAACTCAGAATTTTCATGTCCCCAAAGTTACCCGTCCTGTGCCCGTAGTGCACTGCTCTCTCTGTAACGCCCACCCTGGACAGCGCACATGGCGAGAGCCAGACAAGGGCCGTGAAGAGAGAAGTGGGATCCAGCTGGCAGCTTGGCAAGCGTGGATTATAGGACCAGGCTTGCTCAGTGGCTGGGCTAGAGACGGGCAGATCTCACTCTGTT